AGTAGCTTTGACCATTGGAAACTGTCCCTGGAAGAGCCCCAGCACACCTGTGACTTGAAGACTACCCGGCGACCATTTCCACTTGTGAGCCTTGGAAAGGGTGCCTGAAAGAGATTGGTTGGCCCGTTGGCCCGGCCCAATTTTCTTTTCCATTCCTTTAGTCTCCTCTGTGGCCCTAAACGCTCAAAATAATGTATGACGTGTTTCAACTGTAACTGGGCTTTTCATGCCTCACCGGGGCTGGGGATCAAGTGATACTCAAATCACTTGTATTCAAGTTTTTGCATTGATGCCTGAACTCTAGGTGCTGGCGGGTTTCCGAACAAGCTAGACGCACTCATTTGGCTGTTGAGACTTGAAGTCTCTGGGTCCAATGAAGATGTATTGCATTCATACTGCCGCGAAGTTATTTCTATGGTCAGTGATCAAGGTGCCTTGGATTGCCTTGGCCTTTATACCCATTTGGCTCACAGCATCACAACAATGGCTTCAGAATTTCTTCTTTAGTTGTTTGGTCTACATGGTCTTTTTACTTTGTTTACTTAGGCCAAAATTATCTCTGTCACATTGCCATTGATTGGTCTAGTCATGGCCCATTCCATGCCCAGGGACAGAATGGAAACTTTATGAATCTCCGAAACTGGACCTGGAAGAAGTGCAGGCCGACTGGGCCAGGCTGCTGAACACTACAGTTCCAACAAAAGCAGATTTAGATTTAGATTTAGATCTTCAAGATGAAGACAACATCCTAAGCCGGAAGCTGGGTGGCAATTCAGAAAAAATGCAGAAATGCATAGTGTGTTTTTGCTTGAATGCCCGTGCAAGTCTTGCATTCTGATTGGATGGCTTGATTCAACAGCATGTTTTTCTTAAAGCCACAATTTGCCAGTCAGGTCTTTGGTACCCATGTTTTTGTGTGTGCTTTTGTCAACGGCCTCAGGAATGAAATGGTCAGGCCACCCCTGCAGCTTCTTGGCAGTGGGGGTGACCAGAGCCTCATGGACTTGAGGCAATTTCCTAACAGCTTCAGAGTAGCTGGCCTCAAGCATGTCTCGGACAACGCTCTGAAAGGATTGCTGGAAGGTACAAGGACTTGGAAGGTTCTGATTCCTCGCTTGAGGGCTGTAGAGGTTCTGCTCAAGGGCATCATGAATCGGCAGAGGCTTAGTCACTCATGTGTCACTTCAGAGTTTCCTTGCGAGCAAAAGCGGCTGGAGTTCTTCAGTGCAAGCCTCAAGGGGCTGAGATGGCATGCTGTCTCAGCCTTTTGCATTGAACTCCTCAAGTTGGAACGCATTCTTCGGTGCTTGGATCAGTGAATGGGAATCACATGTTTTGAGTTTTGACCTTTGACTGTTTTCTTTCAACCTTTGATATGCCCTTGCAAATTCATGTAGTTCCTTTTCAATCATTGTTTGTCCTTGAGACTTGCAGTTTTTGTAATGAGTCTGAGTCTGATCAGTTGTCTGACGGTCTGACCAGTATGGAATGTTGCTGAATCAAAGGAAATTATTGTGCGCCTGCTTTGAGGAGATTCTGGAATAAGACCAAGTTCGTGGCTGGGCGTGGGACTGCTCAAAATTCAAATGATGAAGAAGCTGGTGAACATGGCAGTGGCTACTCTGGAGTCAACGTTGAATATTTGGATACGTTTTTGGTCGATTCTGGCTTCTGGGCCCAAGTTCACATGATTTGACACCTGGCCTGGCCTAATCACTTTTTCATTTTATTCAGTCACAGTCAGAGTCACAAGTCACAGTCAGAGTGGTTCTCCGAGAGTTTATCACTAAGAGTTTATTGCTAAGAGTGTCACTCCAAGACGTCCTTGTAAGAATGTCTCACTGGGAGTCGAGAGTCTTATCATATGGGTAGAACAATGGTTAGTGCTTAATGGTTAATGGCCTACCTTGTAATTCATATATCACTTGTCATAAACAGAATGGCTTTCCTTGCCGGGCTGGCTTTCGTCCCCCCTTCTCATATCCACACACTTTATTAAGTGGTGTGCTGTTGTGGGCATGATTCCCCTGTGGTTTCCAGAAGGGAAAGGGAAACGCTTCCATTACGCCCTGTCAAAGTCAACAGGCATGAAAAAAATGGGTTGGCGCATTGAGCCTTGTAACTTGAACATCAAGATCAAGCTTGCCACTTGAAACCCAAGGCGACCTCTCAGCAGAGGCCGAGGCGGCTGGAAACTGGGGTGAGCTTTGCCAGTGCCATGAGACAAACGAGGATGATGATGATGATACTCAATTGGCAACTTTGGTTCCAGGTCCAATTCCTTTGCCATCATCTTGCCCCTTTCGGGGGTGCCGGGCCGTTGAGCTGGCATGTGGAAAGGGTCTCGAAGTACAGAAGAGCATTATCTTGGAAGATCGCGTGGCTGATCAGAGATGGTGACATTTATGTGATGAATTCAATCCCAAACCTTTTGCTTACTGTTGACTAATTTCTTACTCCCTTTTGTTCCAAATGCAACAAAAAATTATCCAAATCCAAATCCAAGGATCGAATCTTGTACCACTGTGCGGGTGCCAGTGAAGAGGCAAAGGCCGAAATCTTGCAGGATTGGTTGGCTGCCAGAGCAAGGCTTTGGAGCAGCTTGTTTGATGTATAGAAACAAAACAATCAGTGTGACAGTGTGACAGTCTGTGGACATTGACATTGCCCACTCAATGAGTTTCAACTACTTGCGGACTGGCGGGGCTTCAAGGTGAAATTTCAGCCAAGCTTCAATACTGGAACGAGTTGCCCTGGATTTTATGATGCTTGTTTTGCATTAGAATCATGTCAATCGACTGTCACTGCCACTGCCACTCAATAAAACACTAATGAATCAATTATAATTATGAATCTTGGTGTTGAGCTATATGACTTGAGCTCTTTTCAGGTGGGCTGGCCAGTGATGATGCTATGGATGTTCGTGAGACAGCCAAGAAGGCATTGAATCTGTGGGACAAAGGTGGCCCACAGTGTGATCATGCAATGTCAAGGAGGTTTTTAGACCAGACATGGACAGGGCTAGATGGTGGGGACGAGGTGTCACTCAGGCCGTTCACTCAAAGACTTGCAGCAGGGGAGCCATTGGAATCATTTTCAGATCAAGAGCAATCCGAGATTGGCTACTGGTTGTGCAGGTTTCGTCATGTGACTGGACTGTGACTGCAGTGACTGCATTAATACATTTTCTCTTTAATATTGATAACTTCAATCAATCTCAGTTTGCCGAACATCATCTCTTGTCAACTTCATTTGATGTGTAAAAGTGGTTGAATTCTGGAAGATTCTGGTAGATGCTCATCAGTGTCATATCTTATTTGCCCGAGGTGAAGGTTGTTGAGAGATCAACTGAAGGGCTGCACTCCTTGATCAAAAGGTCTTTGGCTAGAGCTCCCAGAGCTTCTACTGGCTATTTAAGCCTTGAGCTCCGGTTTGCTCAGCTGATGATGTATGCGGTGGAAGATGTGCATGGGTTCAGGAGTGTGGAGCATGAGTTTCAGAAGCTGGGGACCTTTAAGGGATTCCGTGAAACTGTTCTGTATCCAGGCTTGATGAAGTTTCGTACCACCTTTTTTCTAGTTTGCAGTTGGACATCAAATATAGAAAAGGGGACAGGGGGACAGGGTGATACCTGCCATTCAGTTCAAAAACAAACCGTCAGTGCAAGGAAGACCCTCAACCTCAAGCTCACGGATTCCATTGCACGCTTGTCAGACAGACAACTTTCGGAACTCCTGTACCGGGATGATCTTGTGCTCAAGCACTCTGCCAGCACTCACATCCGATCAACAGTCAAGCAGCTCGAGGACGCGGCCGCCTCCGTTTCAAAAAACTCAGCAAAGGCACCTTCGAGTGCAGGAGCAACACTTGTTGCAGCACTCATAGATTTTCTCATTCAGGCTCGGCTTGGCACTTGTGGTCACTTTTCATTGCGCTTCACCGTCATTTTTGATCTGCTTTTGGTGAAAAGATTGCTCATTGTTCAAGTTCAAGTCAAGTTCCCGTTTTTTTCACCTATTGTAGAGATGGTGTGTTTTGGTACTGGCATATATGGCAGGTCTGCAGCAGAGACATCAGAGTCTTCATCTCTTTCGATGAAGATTTCATCAAGGACCGGTTGCAGACACTTGAACAGTTGTTTCCCCAGCCTCCGTCACAGTCCAATGTCACAGTCAACAAGATGGAAGACGATGATCCACTTCTGGCGCAGGCAAATCCAAGGTCAAGGAAGTCAAGAAAATCTAGTTCAGACAAGCCAGAGAGAACGTTGCAGTTTTTCAGGTTCACCAAAAATTTGTGGACACATATGACGTTGCAACAAGCCGAGAAGCCGAGTGTCGACATGGTTGCGCAACTCTCAGAGGTATTTGATGAAGATAGAGAGTCGGGAACAAAGGTGCTGATCCACCAGGATGTCAATGTTGGATGTACTTTGCGTGATGCTAGTGTGGAAGAGCTTGTTTCACAGATCAATGTGTGGACATTGGTTTCAAGCAAATTTACAGTTAATCCAGGCAGACTAGACCAACAAGCTGCAGAGCTTCTGGAACAGATGGCTGAAGCTGGTGCCTTTCCCCGGACAGAATCCGATGGTTTCTTCTATCCTGAACCAGATGATGCTATGCAATGTTTGACAAACAAAGGTCTTGTGGTCCCCAGTGAAATCCACAACCAATTCCTGATATCAGAAAAGGGAGCATCCTTTTTCACTGCAATGACAACAGTGGGATCATGTGTTTCATTGGAAGACTTCCAACAGAGGCTTGGTTTAACATACAGCCATTCTTTTGGGAGTATTTTTTGATTTTGCGTTGAGCACGTCTTCATGACTCAATCCCGAGAAGCTGCTATAGTGCAAAATCAACATTGTTTATTACTGATGAACATCTTCAGCACCAGAGTAAAACATGTTCCTATATGATGCTTTGTCTAAGACCTCATTCTATGAGGCTGACTTGCAGAAACAGACAAAATTTGAACTGTTTGTGGTTCTTTTGCACATGGGCTGGAAGGTGACCGAAAAGGAGAACTTGCAGTGCAGGTACATTTGCAAGGATGGTGACGGTGATATAATAAACAAGGAGTTTTTGGTAGGAAAGGCATTGCACAAAGAATACTTGTTGTCTCTGATTCTGGCAGAGAGCTTATTGCAAGAAGGACTGGAGAAGATTTTTCATGAGCAGAGCAAAGCATACTATTCCTGTGCACAAGCTGCATCAAAACTGGCAGAGAAAGGATTGCTTGCGGAACTACAGCCCAACAAGGATGCTGGTTTTTACAAAGAACTGCTGCGGAAAGTGAGTTCAAAACCAAAAGCTCGGGTAATTCCTGGAACTGCCACCACCAGTGGTATCGATCTTACAGATGAACCAAGTCTATTTGGCGGCCAAGAGACAACAGATGTGCAGGAGAAATCAAAGTCTACCAGAAAGAGACCTGGTGCTACACAACGGAAGGAAAAAGGCACTACTGGTGGTCGTGCTGAAACTTCTGCCAATGTGAGTTATGATGACTATGAAATAATTTCGGATTCAGACTCAGCATCCCAGCGGTGTGAAGATGAGGAGCCAGCCGAGCCAGCTGGTTCAAAATTGATTACTTCACTAGGCTCCCTTGGACCCCTTGGACAAAGAGCACGAAAACGTCAATTGCCTGCAGCTTCCATTGCACCGGGAAGGGCATTGTTGGAAGCAGTGTCTACATTGTCTACTGCGTCACAGGCAAGCACGGTCAAAGATATTGCAGCCAATATAGCCAAGGAAAGTGATGAGAAAAAGCAACCGCCTGAAGTTGAAGTTGCAAAACGACAAAAAAACACGCACACACCGATGCAGGATGACAAAGATGACACAGGTTTCATTGAGCCAAAGGTTGAACCAGGAGCTCACCCTGGATCAGTCAGTGCTGTCTATGATGTGCCTATGGTGGTATTGTCTGATTCTGATGATGAAGCAAAAGTTGGAGTCCAAGGGTCGGCAGCAGAATCTGCACTGTCAGCACCGATGGGATCTAGACCAAGCAGCCCTACAGAGGCAGCCGTTGCCAGCAGTGCAAATATACAGGACGAGGAATCTTCAGTACTAATGACTACAGAAGGAGTGCCTGCGGCTGCAACAAAGCCTGCAGCAGATGACTCACAGAAAGCCAATGAAGAAGCTTCCAGTGCAAGCGCCAAACCAGCTCCTATACCAAAACCGGCAGATCAAGATTCGACATCAAAACCATCCAGTGCAAGTGCAGGGACAGGGGCCAAAGCCAAAGCTGCTGCTACTCCACCAAAGGGAAGTTCTGAGCCGTCTTCAATATTCAATGCAAGCACTGTCTGGCTTGACACCATCCCAGTCGTGAAGCGGACTGACAAGAAAGGATCTGTCCCTCGGCCGTCCACCTTACAATATCTAGTTGTTTGCACAGATTTATCATGCAATGAATCGACAAACAAAAAACAATATCAGTATCAGAAAATTGTTTGCGCATGTGTCTGTGCCAGACCCTGTACTGTTTCATTCGCCACGTCGCCCAGGGTGCTTTCTATGTGACTTGCCCTTGTCACAAGTCGGTGAAGGAGGACGGCAAGGAGCGCAAATGCAAGAAGGAGATTTCCGTCACTACGTCCATCTCAGACGAGATAGCTGTTAGAATGATTGCTTGGTGGCTTCTGCAAGGTTTTTGGTTGCACTAATGTCCCGACACACACACACATACAGAGACAGAGACACATCAGTATGTATTCAAACATAGCAATTTGCTTTTAGAATCTTGCAAAAATCTTGCTGGTGCCAAGTTGTTAAAACATTAGGTTTTTCATTATGGATACACCAAGGCTACAAGATGGTTCGAAGGCCAAATGAAACGGACGAAGCGTTCAGGAGGAGGCATGTCATGACTGCAGTGACCTTAGCCTTGCTTGAGAGACTTGAGAGAGTGATAAGATTTTGCTCATTACACATCAATTTACAAGGACACGACACGAGAAAATATATTCAATCAACTGAGACACAGACTGAGACTGAGACTGAGGCGCCTATAAATTCTCTGGCAGACTTGCCTTCATTGGATGATCTCAAGGCAGAGATTACCCATTATGCTGCTTTGCAGAGCTCCTTGGCAGAAACATCAAGTCGTGTGAGGGGCTCCTGACTCCTACAGCAATTATATGTTGAGACACTGTGCTGGTCACATGCAGACTGAATGGCTGCTCCGAATAAGGAGCTGCAGCGCCTTGATTCTCAGACACATATGGCAGCTCCGGCACAAGTTTGATAGATTTGGGAATGCTTCAACAAAGGTTTGGTGATTCGTTTTTCATTGAACAAAATATGGAACTTGTTTTGTTGCATTTTTTTTTGTGAATTTTACTGTCAATCCTGATCACTTCTTGTGCATCCTCTAATTCCCTGAAAACTTTCTCTACTTCCCTGAAATTTCTCTAAGTTCTTTTTAAAAAGAACTTAGAGGATTTTGAGTGTTTTCCTACGATGAAAATGCTGCTCTTTTGAAGCCAAAAGCATGGATTTGGATGCAATTTTCATCGTAGATATTCCTGAATTTCAGTTTTTCTACGATGAAAAATGAGCTCAAAAGTACTGTTCTGGCCCCAAAAGTGATTGATTTACATCGTAGATATTCTGGAAAAATCCTCTAAGTTCTTTTTAAAAAGAACTTAGAGAAATTTCAGGGAAGTAGAGAAAGTTTTCAGGGAATTAGAGCTTCACCCAGACTAAACATGTTTTGGCTTTATTTATAAAAAAAACAACAAAAAATATTTCTTAAGCTGAAAAAGAAAAACAAGGAGAACACTTTATTTACTTTATTGATTTCTCTAATTCATTTGTTTAAAAACTATTGTCCTTGTGCCAAAGGAAAATTTATCCAAGTTCTTTTGAAAAAGAACTTAGAGAAAATTTCCTTGCTTGTGCCAAAGGAATTTCCCTTGCTTGTGTCAAAGGAAAATTTCTCTAAGTTCTTTTTAAAAAGAACTTAGAGAAATTTCCCTTGCTTGTGTCAAAGGAAAATTTCTCTAAGTTCTTTTTAAAAAGAACTTAGAGACATTTCCCTTGCTTGTGTCAAAGGAAAATTTCTCTAAGTTCTTTTTAAAAAGAACTTAGAGAAAATTTGGGGAAGTAGAGAAACTTTTGGTCCTCAGCGTTTTTTTTCTCGGAAAATCATCTCAAAAAAAAATCGCGAGCGCTCCCGCGGGGGGGGGCCGACCCCCCCTAGGCGAAAAATTTTCTTCCGCGCTTCGCGCGCCCGGACCAATTTTTTTTTTTTTTTTTTTCAATTGGAAAATTTCTCTAAGTTCTTTTTAAAAAGAACTTAGAGAAAATTCCCTTGCTTGTGTGCCAAGAGAAAATTTCTCTAAGTTCTTTTTAAAAAGAACTTAGAGAAATTTCCCTTGCTTGTGCCAAGGGAAAATTTCTCTAAGTTCTTTTTAAAAAGAACTTAGAGAAATTTCCCTTGCTTGTGTCAAAGGAAAATTTCTCTAAGTTCTTTTTAAAAAGAACTTAGAGAAAATTTGGGGAAGTAGAGAAACTTTTGGTCCTCAGCGTTTTTTTCTCGGAAAATCATCTCAAAAAAAAATCGCGAGCGCTCCCGCGGGGGGGGCCGACCCCCCTAGGCGAAAAATTTTCTTCCGCGCTTCGCGCGCCCGGACCAAAAAAAAATTGTTTTTTTTTTCAATTGGAAAATTTCTCTAAGTTCTTTTTAAAAAGAACTTAGAGAAAATTCCCTTGCTTGTGTGCCAAGGGAAAATTTCTCTAAGTTCTTTTTAAAAAGAACTTAGAGAAAATTCCCTTGCTTGTGCCAAGGGAAAATTTCTCTAAGTTCTTTTTAAAAAGAACTTAGAGAAATTTCCCTTGCTTGTGTCAAAGGAAAATTTCTCTAAGTTCTTTTTAAAAAGAACTTAGAGAAAATTTGGGGAAGTAGAGAAACTTTTGGTGCTCAGCGTTTTTTTTCTCGGAAAATCATCTCAAAAAAAAATCGCGAGCGCTCCCGCGGGGGGGGGCCGACCCCCCTAGGCGAAAAATTTTCTTCCGCGCTTCGCGCGCCCGGACCAAAAAAAAATCAAGGGGAAAATTTCTCTAAGTTCTTTTTAAAAAGAACTTAGAGAAAATTTGGGGAAGTAGAGAAACTTTTGGTGCTCAGCGTTTTTTTTCTCGGAAAATCATCTCAAAAAAAAATCGCGAGCGCTCCCGCGGGGGGGGGCCGACCCCCCTAGGCGAAAAATTTTCTTCCGCGCTTCGCGCGCCCGGACCAAAAAAAAATCAAGGGGAAAATTTCTCTAAGTTCTTTTTAAAAAGAACTTAGAGAAAATTCCCTTGCTTGTGCCAAGGGAAAATTTCTCTAAGTTCTTTTTAAAAAGAACTTAGAGAAAATTTGGGGAAGTAGAGAAACTTTTGGTGCTCAGCGTTTTTTTTCTCGGAAAATCATCTCAAAAAAAAATCGCGAGCGCTCCCGCGGGGGGGGGGCCGACCCCCCTAGGCGAAAAATTTTCTTCCGCGCTTCGCGCGCCCGGACCAAAAAAAATCAAGGGGAAAATTTCTCTAAGTTCTTTTTAAAAAGAACTTAGAAAAAATTACCTTGCTTGTGAGAATTTTTTCCACTGCTTGTGTCAAAGGAAAAATTTCTTCCGCGCTTCGCGCGGCAAAAGTAGTGAACTTAGACTTTGACTGAGCTTGGAACATGTTTTTCTCAAAGGAACGAATAACTTAGTGATTAGGGGGTCTGTAGAGTTGGGGGAGTTGGGAGAAGGGAATGACAGTGTCAAGTGTCAAGTCAAGTTGAGAATTTATGTGTATCTTTTCTGAAAAGGAACAAACACAAGTCAAGGGTTTGCTGTGTCCTTGTGCTTTGCACTGAGGGATAGCTTGCTGAACTCTTCTATGCATCCATTCTGCTCTCTTCGCATCCGAACCTCTGTGCAGATGATTTCAGGCTCGGCTGTGCCTTTGGTGAACAAATTGTTTCGAACCAGTTTGCAATATGATTCACAACAGTCAGGGCAGGTTTAGGGAGTCAGGGTGGTCCACAACTCACAGTCTAAGTCATGGCGAAGAAATAGTTGGTCCTAGTCCTAGGTCAAGAGTCAAGAGACAGAAGCTTGCAAATCTCGTGCACCATGCATGCATGTTGGTGTGTTTGGCATTGGCCTGTGGCAGGTCTGCAGCAGAGACAACAGAGTCATTCATATTGTGTCAATGTCACAGTCCCTGGTCACAGTCATTCAGACTCAGCATGTCAAGCCGAACTATTGGAAGATGACGAGCAACCTGGCTGAGCAGAAGGACACTGGTGTCTCTGGAGAGGCCTTCGCATTTTGGGTTGGAGAGAGTTTTTGGCCAGCTCTTGGCTTTACTTAGAAGCCAGCTGTTGCAGTGTTGGATGACATTACCTTCCACTGTTCATCATCATCATCATCATCATCATGAAAATTTGTTTTGAGATCAACTTCTTGGATTGATTTTGAGTTGCAAAAACTATTTGAGAACATGAGGGTGGGTATTGTTTGTTTAACTCTTATTTGATACAATGTGTTTTAGTGAGAAAATATGATGGCCCTTGATTCAATTTGTCACAGTAACTGTCCACTGGTCACCACCGGTCATAGCCCTTGGAAGCTTTGCAGGTTTTTGATTCTTCTGTGCCTATGGCCTATGGTGGTTGTTGACGAGGCCAGGGCCCGGGAGGATTGGAGGGACAGGCTGCTGCTATATAGATCTAGAATCTGGATATAACCTTCAGATACACATATAGATAGTCATATTATAGTCCAATAGTAATATTCCATAATATTAATAGGTACCATTACCATTAATGGATTAAAATCATGAACAGGTACCATATGGCACTAAGAATGGGACATAATGGGTAATATAGGATGATTACAGTAATAGAATAATTTTGATTCATTATGGGTTAAAAAATGTAATTATGGAACTATTTAATTTATATTTTCATATTATGGGATTATCATCTATGAACATTTCTTTCATAATAGGTGCCAGGTACCATTGAATCTGCAAAATAGTACCTAATTTTCCAATCATTATTATTGATGACAATTATTAATTTACATGATAATGATGATCATAATAATAGGATATTTCACCAGTCACAGTCACGGGTCACAGTCAATAAATAGGTCTAGCCTCAGTCACAGTCATAAGATAATAGCCTTAATTCGAGTCACAGTCAAGATCCCTAAACCCAAAAAAATAATATGGAAAGGAGCACAAGGGCAACCCTATTATATGATATCATAGTACTGGGCTTGTCCCAGCCCCTGGTTTGTTGCCTCCTGCCAGGTCCGCCCGTTTATATTTTTTGGGAAGATGGCAAACCACCTTGGTTGGGGGGCCCCAAAGCACACACCCCTCATGACATATTTATACATGTTGGTTTCGAGTCGCTTCGTTTCCTTTTTTTCTGGTTCACATGGAAATGGGACTTCGCCACCCCCTCGACACATACACACATGATAGAAGGTATATGTGTCCAGGCTCCTCCTCAGGTCTTATGATTTTAAAAGGAAGTGATGGTGTACCATGGCCTTGCCATCAGCCATGGTACATCTATTGTCACTTCCTCCCAATTGAATCTGTGATAACCTTTGGCCTGCAGGGCCAGTAACCCCGGTTCCCCCCGATCTCTTGTTGTGGGCAGATAGGCCTCTCTCTCTGGACGGACGGACTTTCCTAAGTAAAGAAAAACAAAAACTATTTTCTATTGGTTCTTCAAAGTGGCCCCTTTTGAGATGGTCAATTGACCTTTTTTGGGTTGCCTCAAATTGATGGTTGACAAGGTCATTTTGAAGAACCAAGTAACTAGTAACTATTTAACAGCTATCCTATCA